TTCCCCTTTTTAGAGCTAATAAATAATAATAAACGTTACAATAACATATACTCTGTTCTACTCATATTTTATATACTTAATATTTAATGCCATGTCAGCCTCTATGGCTATATTCATGACAAGAGCCAGGTTTAGTATTCCAAATTAAAACTAAGTCAGATGTTTTATTTTGGCTAAATTTGGATTTACTTGGTTAAAAACCTTTTTTAAAAGCATCAACAGAATAAAACAAGCTCCTCAAAGTGGTAAATGTATTCCAGTTTAATAAAATATACTTGATGGACAGTGAAATAATTGTTTTTAAAGCCAATCAACTTTTTTGTTGTTTCGTATAATCATTGCTTTTCTTTGGCACAATAATGTAATGTCTTTGAATTTTCTCAGCATGTATTCATATGCAATTCATTAACATTTTAATTGGAGTGACATTCATAATATTTACATAAAACTGTATTTACATGTGCACCACCTTTCAAAAGTTTGGGGTTAGTACGTTTTTTTGTGTTTTGAAACACGTTATGCTCATCAAGGCTGCAATTATTTGACTGAAAATAAAAACAGTAATATTGTGAAATATTACTACAATTTAAAATAACTGTTTTCTATTTGAATATATTTTCTGGCAAAGCTGAATCTCTCCAGAAATGTGACATAAACATAGGAGAATCCAAAAATATTTATCTAACTTATCTCTTTTTAGTTTTGACATACCAATTACAAACCACATACTGAATGGAGGCTCTCATAATGGAACGTACCTTGATATCACTAGTGGCAGGTTGAAGATCAGTGATATCAACATGAGAAAACGAGTGTAAAGATGAGAGGAAAGACTCTCCCCATTTGAGGAACTTCTGCAGGGCTTGCTCAAACTGTTCCACCTGAGAAAGGTGCTCCTGAAGCACTTGGATTCTGTGATGAAGAGGTTAATATACGGTACTATGTTAGACATACTACATTTTTTTTAATGCAAAGTTTATCCCTCATCCACGCAGACCATTTATGAAATCTAAACTACAAATATAGAAAACCAACATAAGCACATGAACATACTGACCCACCCTGATCAACAACAGCGTGATTTATGACTAATCATAACAGAAGCCATTTACTTCTAGGAGTATCAAAAGTACAATAGCAGGGTCAGGGAATGGGTGGACAATAGTCATCCAAAACTAAATTATGATGCAATAATGAAACTATTTGCAATAAGATAAAACTATTTATGATGCAAGAAACCTAAAGATGGCCTCTTTAAACAATTGCTGCTTATTTTTAATATGACTGACCTTTGAGGTATAGCTGCGGTCTGACACTTCCATCTTTTCTCGAGCCGTTCATGGCCTTCTTTAAGTGTTTTCACACGTTCATCTGATGCAGTGGTGTAAAGAGTTGGCGTTTGGGCCACCAGCCTGTTGTAAACCGACTGCAGAGACTGAAGCTCACTCTGTAGGTGCTTTAAAAGAAGTGTAAGAAACGATACGAAATTATCAAACATCCCTGATCTTCATCAATATATGCCATTTTCATATTCATAAAGAATAAAAGCTTATTAACTTTTCATCAAAATAGTTTTGAAACAGCTTTGCTTCTGAAATGAAGAGATAACGTTAACCATTATTATAGGCCTACTTTTCACAATTCTGTTAAACCCCGATGGATAAGACCAAGCCTGTCATTCATTATTTCCAGCTAAATATTCTGTTTCACATAGAAATATGTCACATTATGCACGTAAAATACATTATGAATGTTGTTTCCCGTTTTATTTCATTTATTACTTTCAGTTCCAGCAGTTCTCCATCCAGCTTTAGTTTGTCGACCGGAAGGAACTGAGAGTCAGGGCTGGTTATGGATTCACATCTCTCCAGGCATGACTGCAGGGCAGACCAATCCTTTTCATACCTGAAATAAACAAATGAATCAAGAGATTTAACTAAATATCTCTTATAACAATTTGAGAGATAAATACATTAGATTCCAACAGAGACAACAAAACATACTTTTGCCAATGTGACATAAGGCTCTCCATTAGGTTCTGCTTGTCCTTGGCCTGTTTTAAACACTGCTCATAACTTTGCTGCAGGACCGCCACGGCTCTCTCGGCCTTCTCTCTCTCGCTGAGCCTGCGGGCGCCAGCAGACAGGGACAGCAGGGTGGCCTTAAGCTTTTCCAGGGACTGGAACATATCCTGCAAACCAAACAAATCCATTATTGAGGAACTGGTGCACATAAATGAGAAATGTTCATGCAGGTATCATACCATGTGACTCTGTAGAGTTTTGTAGGTCTCGGATGAAGACACGCAGGAGGTGACAGGGCTGTCAAATTTCTTTTGGATATCTTCAACCTCTGATTGTAGCTTTTAAAAGAATGTAACGCCATTAGACAACATAAGGCTTTAGTAAGACTGCAGTAAACAGCATGTTCACACGTACCTGTTGAAGGTTGGCACTGAACTTCGTCTGGTGGGAGGAGCTTTCCTCCAACTGTCCATTCAGGTGTTCCACACTCTCCTTAAGCTCCTCCCAGTATCTGCCAATCTGTGTCAGACGGGCTTTGATTCGTGCGGATTCGCCAGACGACACAAACTGGACCAGCGCTTGAGATTTCTCCTCCAGATTGCACAGGACCTTTAACCTCTCCTGCAGACCCTCTCTGATTGTCTAAGAGATAAAAAATATTGCAATGTCAGCGGCACTTTATATAGAAAATAGAATTTTTATTAAAAGAGTTAATCTGCTAAAAAATAAAAAACTAATAATAAGCTTTTCAGATTATAAACGGAGGACAACAGCTATAAAAATAAATGCGTAACAAATTAAATAAAAAATAAAATAAAAAAATGTGTGATAATAAATGATAAGCAATGATCAATTGGTAAGTGGTATCAAAAGAAAAGAAATATGTAATTGTAAATATAACAAAAAGTACAAAATTAAATAAAAAATTTAATCAATTTATAATAATTTACACTAAGAAAATTACATATATATATATATATATATATATGTGATGTTAAATATATAGAACATTTTCAATATAATTAATTCAATTATATAACTTTTTTATTAAGAAATAGAAATAAAAACTATTAAAAACAATTTCTTTAGTTTATAAATATAAAAAAAAGATTTTTTAAAAATAAATACAGAAGCCAAGCAGTCATTTCAAGCATTTAAAAAAACATTGTTCTTTTATTCAATTATATATTTATTATCGCACATTTACGGTACAGATTTGCTGGTCCAAAGGTGTGCTGGAGCTTTTCAAGGCATCCATTTCTCTTTCTCTCTCCGTTATCCATGTGGAAAAAGCTTCAAACTCACTCCCGAAAGAATCCCACTGATCTTTCATGCCCTCCAAAGTCTTCACACTGAAAAATTATACAGTAATAAAACAGCCTTATGGATTCCTAATGAACTCACAGATTATGCTTAATGCATTTGTTAATAATCTTAGTGTGAAATCTATAAAATAAAGTAGGTATTACTCTCGCTTGAGTCCAGTCTCAACTTTGTCCACTTGTTCACTCAGAGCACGTGCTTGATCCTGGAGGAGAGACTGATTTTTGGGGCCTAGTTGGATCTCTGCGGCCCTCTTGAGAAGAGTGTTCACCTGTCTGGCCTCTGTTTCACACTGTTTCAGGAGTTCCTACAGGAAAAACAGCAGCAGATGAAGTGAAAATGTCTGTGGCACAGTTTTGTTTTTGTGAGGCAGAATAAACCAAATAATTACAAGCCATTTCAAAACATTAGCCTGTAGGCTGCTTACAGTCGAGTGCACATTGGCTAATTACAATGGCTTGTAGCGAGGCTCATTCAGTCAGATTGTATTGCCAGAGCAGATTTTCTAATGAGGATTTGGTGGCAAAAGCTCTTGCAGCTCTTCTGGTTTTAAAATAAAGACGCTCATGTTTAATTAAAGGTGATTCATTACACCGAGCCCTTGGAGATCAAGTGTTATTCTCACCTTGGCCTGCTCCAGCTCTGTGCTGAGACTGTCTGGACTGCTGAAGTTCATCTCTCTCTCTGTGACCGATCGCACTTTACCCACAAACTCCCTCACTGCTGCCTGCTGACTGTCAAACTCCTGCCAAGCAGCTAAAGTCACCTGACAACAGAGAAGGACATTCATACTATTGTTTCAAAGAAAATATTTTATCTGCTCAATCAAAAAAATAAATAAATCTATATGAAACTGCATTCAAATATTTCCAAATGAAGCCAAATAGTCATATAAAGTAAAAAATTTTTTTTTATTTATATTAGGATTTATCATAATAATAATAACATTTGAATAATATTAATATATTATTAAATCAATATTTTTCTAAATATTTAACATACATTTTAATATACAGACTTATGTTATTATTATTACTATAATTTTATCACATTAGTAATTTATTATATAAATATTTAATTTAATATATACATTTAATATTAAACAAATATTTAATTTAATTTGACTTAAACATCCTCACCTCCAGGTTCTGTAACATATGCAAAACTATTATATTTTTATATTTATTTTATTTCATTTGATTTGATTTAACCATCCTCACCTCCAGGTTCTTTTCCTGTGACTCTGTGCTTTGATCCATTTTGCTCAAGGTGGTGTCTAGTTTCTGCAGGTCTTCCTGTAAGTTCTCCTCCAGACCCTCCTCTATCTGCAGCTGCTTTCCACGGTTTATCTGCTCTTGCATTTCCTTCTGCTTGAGCCGGAGACGCTTCAGTTGTTGCTGCACATTAGGAAAGCACATGAACGTTGGATATAAATATGATTTTCAGCTTCATATATCAGGGTTGCGATTCATTCAGTGAGGGTGGCACCTGATGAAGCAGCAGCAGTTGTTGGGCTTCTCTGACGGACTCAGAGTTCAGAATCTTGCTGGTCACTGACTGCAGCTCCTGCTGACCCTGTGTCAACTCCTCCAGTGTAGTTTTCACCTCCTCTCTGAACTGCACACAGTCGCTCACCGCCAGCACGACCTTCTCTGACTGTCACAACACACACATAAAATCTTCTTTTTTTAATATTTAAACCATCACAACATGGAAAACAGGACTTTCATTACTTTTTTAAACAGAAGTCTTAAAGGCACAGTATATTTATCATCCAGCTTCAAAATATACAGAAAATATGATTGCATATTATATTATATTATATTATAAATGACTAAATGTAAATGTAATTATATTATAATAGAAAATTTATTTCATTTGTCTTACCTTCAGGTTCAATAAAATCTTCTTTTTTTAATATTTAAACCATCACAACATGGAAAACAGGACTTTCATTACTTTTTTAAACAGAAGTCTTAAAGGCACAGTATATTTATCATCCAGCTTCAAAATATACAGAAAATATGATTGCATATTATATTATATTATAAATGACTAAATGTAAATGTAATTATATTATAATGGAACATTTATTTCATTTGTCTTACCTTCAGGTTCAATAAAATATAAAGATATCTGCTAGCAGCTGCAGCTGATCTGCATTGATATTTTTCTATATGGCAGATGATTTATTTGGATTTATTCTTAAAATGAGTATGTCTTACCTCAGAAAGGGAGGTGAGGAGACCCTTGAAGTCACTGGAGAGTTTGCTGAGAGCAGCCCCCTGTCTCTGAGTGTCACTCTCCGTGCAAACCTCTATCAGAGCGGCCAAACGCGTCTTCAGCCAGCTCACGTTCCCCTCCTGCAGTTCAGCATCGTTTCTCAGACTCTGCAAATCATGAAGTGACGATCAATCAAGATTTCACACAGCTGTCACATTCATTTTCAGTCCACTTCATCTTTGTTTCGCACCTCAATGGTGGATTTGACCTGTCCAAACTTGCTGGGGTCTCCAGCTCTGTTTCGCAGAAGTCTGAGTTGACTTTCCTTCGATGTAACCCAGGCAGAGAGTTCAGAGAACCTGCAAACACACACAAAAATAATCATATTGTTAATATTGTATAAATTAAAATCAACTTATATCAGCAGTGATTTTACAAACAACTGACTGTGCAATAGTCAAGTCACATTTATTTATAAAGCACTTTATACAATACAGACTGTTTCAAAACAGCTTCAGTGTAATAAACAGGAAAATAACAGTATTAATGCTGCAAAATTCATCAATTATGAAACGAATACGATTTCAAGTGTAAAGCAGCTCGAAAATGACAATAGTGTCATTATTCAGCATTTTAGTCCCATTTTGATTCAATTTAGTTCAACAACAGTGGGGATGTTGCAAAGTTCGGACACAATTCAACTATAATGACAATAGTGTCATTATTTAGCTCAAGTCAGTTCAATGTTAATTCAGTTCTGTTCAATAACAGTGCAAAGTTGATCAAATTATGCAACAAGCTTAACTGAGCTATAAGCAGCTCTGCAGATGACAATAAGTCAGTTCAGTGTTGATTCAGTTCAGTTCAATAACTGTAAAGTTCATCAATTATGAAACCAATTCGATTCAGTTATAGTGGACAACTGTCATTATTCAGCTCTTCGTTCAAGATTTGTTCTCATCCAATAGTGTCAGTGCAGTCAAATCAATATTATTACTGAATATTAAATGTCTTTTAAACAGCTTCAAAATGTGAATACAACTTAATTTTGTTAAATTAATTCATTATGAAACTGTAAAGATAATAGTGTCATTATTAAGCTCAAGTTAGTTCATAGCACTTGTTCAATTTCAGTTCAATAACTGTAAAGTTCATCAATTATGAAACAAATTCGATTCAGTTATAGTGGACAACTGTCATTATTCAGCTCTTCGTTCAAGATTTGTTCTCATCCAATAGTGTCAGTGCAGTCAAATCAATATTATTACTGAATATTAAATGTCTTTTAAACAGCTTCAAAATGTGAATACAACTTAATTTTGTTAAATTAATTCATTATGAAACTGTAAAGATAATAGTGTCATTATTAAGCTCAAGTTAGTTCATAGTTTAATTCAGTTCAATAACAGTGTCAATGTTGCACAGTTTGTGTCATTCTCCAGCTCAATTTAGTTCAAATTCTGTTCTTATCCGATAGTGTCAGTGCAGCTGAATCGAAACCACTTAATATTCAATATTCAAAGGACTAAAGGTTCACCTGGTATTAAACTCCTTCCACTTGTCCGGGTGCTGCATTAGTTTCTGATGTATGCTGTCAATATCCTCTCTGACCTCTGCAAACACCGTCCTGGCATTCTCTAGTGTTTGCCGGGCTTGTTCGCTTTCCGGAAGCTTTGAGCGCAGTTCCTCCATATGCTGTAAGCGCTTTTCACAAAGAGCCTGTGGACCCTTTTCCTTAAAAAACATCTACGTAAAGATATCCAACATAAGCGTTCCCTATTTCCAAGGACAGAAAGAGTGCTTATAGAGGGTGTAATGCCGGTGGCTCTCACCCTGTGCTCTTTGATTAACCTCTCGCTGCCCATGCTGGGCAGACTGCGGTTCTCACGGGCCAGTTCAGCCTGACACTCCTGCACTGATGCCTTCAGACGACACTTCTCCAGCTCCACCTTCAGATGCAGCAGGTGAGAGGGAATCTCTGTTTGGACATCCTGTAGAAAAGATGCATTTTCATATGGTGGGTGCAATTCAAGTGGTTTTCGTCATACTTTTTAAGCTATAATTTACAGCCAAATCAAACCCCTTTAAAAAGCTTTTAATGGTCCAAGCCACTTTCAATGTTTCATAATTCTGAAAGGGGGTTAGCATCATTTTTAACAAGATAAGCAGGTTTTCAACATTTAAAAAATGACCATTTGTGAACCCCTTCAAGTGTGAAAAGCCCATATTAGCAACCCATTTATGTTCTATTGTATTGTATTGTATTGTATTCTATTCTATTTAGAACATGACTGCTGAACTACAGTTGAAACTGGACATTTTTCAACAGAAACAAGCACCAGTCCAAACATATTTACTTAAAAGAAAATAACTTTAATGTTTGGCAATGTATGAATCCTACAGGTGAAGTAACGGAATATAGTGCATTACCTGAAGTGTAATTACACCTTTTATTATTTTATTTTATTAGTTTATATTTTATTTTATTTTATTATTATATTTTTTCTTTCTCTTAATGTTTGAATTATATGCAAATGTCCTGTTGATGTTCTTATTGATTCAGTAATTGTTATTATTACTATTATCATTATTATATGTAAATGTTACAGTTACAGTTCTGTCACAAAAATATTTAGTAAAACATACGTATATATATATATATATACACACACACACAGTTAAAATAATAATAATAATAAATTGAAAAATAAATATAATTAAAAAAATTATATTATAATAATACATAATAATAATATATATCAGCAACCTTTTGAAATGCTATAAAAATGGTTGGTATTGTAAGCGTTCTCTGACCTTCCACTGTTTGTGCAGCTTCCTGACTGTTTCCTGCAGATTCTGTTGTTCTTGCTCTGGTAGAATATCTGAGAGTTCATCGCAGGCTTTCAGAAAGGCATTGAGAACTCTCTGATCCAGCTGCCCAAAGAACTCCTGCAGGACATTCCATAGATATGTTATGAAATCACGTCAGCTTTAAAATTTCTATGAACAAATTTCCTTCTGGAGACGAAATAAAGTTCAAACTCTGCTTTCGGCCTATTTGCAAGCACTAGAATAGACTGTTGGCTTTCATTTCTCACAGTGTGCTTTTTCAGAAGGTCCTCTGGGCTTCCTCTCTCAGTCATGGAGCTGCGAGCTATTTTCAGAACCTTCTCCAGCTCTACACGAGACTCCTCAAATCTCTTCATCAGGCTGCTGTTCGCCTCCACATGCCTCTTCCATTCTGTGGTTTCTTTTACCATGCCCTTTTTGAGATAAAACATACAACAAAGAAAAATAACAAATAGGATTTATTTCATATCACAATTGTTTCTCCAAGACAGCAGTGAGATCAAATGGATGGAGAATTTGCCTAATTCTCTGATTGTAGTTCTGTGTCTGCTCTAAAGTTTCAGAAGAGATCTCAAACTGTGCTCAGATTTATCAGGCTACCATTGTTTCCAATCAATAGTCATAGATTTTACCATGAAACATTTCTCAGTCTCATTCTTGCATTTAAGACATGACGTTGTTCTTCCGATGGTGCGGTTCCCACCTGTGAAGAGGCCTGAAGCTCGGTGATTCTCCTCTCTAGTAGTGATGTGTCCAGGTGTTTTAGGTTCTGACTGGTGTCCAATGACTTCAGAATGATCTGATGGTTTTTGTCAATCACTGACAGACACTTTTTACAGCTCTGCTGATAGGTCACCAGCTCCTGATAATTGTATAAAGAGAAAATACAAAAAAGAGAGTGAATTTTAAAATATCAAGTACTGTCAAAATCTTAAAAAGCCTGTCAACGCCAATAAAGGACACAAAATATTCACAATTTTTTTGCAATGTTGCTAAACTAAAACTACAATATTCACATGTAAATATTGGGCTAAATATTTTTATTTATACCGAACAGTTTTAACCAGTGTTATTTTAGTATCATTGAGATAATATTATAGTTTTTATTCATATTATGAATTAGCTTTTATTTTTATATTTTTTGTCTTCAATTTAATATTATACATTTTGTAATCATTTTTATTAGTTTTTTTCATTTGTCTAGATAAGTTTCCTTAATTTTTATTTCAGTTTTAGTTATTTTAGTACATCTAGTTAAACAAAGAAATGTTGCCTTGTCAACTAGCTGAAATAAAATAAATGTAACTTTTTAAATATTAAAATTTTGTTAAAGGTCATAACACTAAAAGCTTGCTGTCACATATAGTATAACCCATAGTCCTTTAGTCACCTGACACTTCTGCTTGAAGTCTCCTGGAGCCTCGGAGTCCCGGGAGGAAGTGATGCGGCTCGCCTTCTCCAGCGACTGGTAGAACCCAGTGATATGTTTCTCCATTTCCTCTAATGGTGGCAGCATGGCCTGGGAGTCCCTCAGCAGAGGCAGAGCTCTTTCTCTTATCTGAATGAGACATTGAGGTCATTATGTGAGATGGTGTGATTGCGGTCTAATGTGGCAGTTCATGAGGGAAAATACAGGCCTGGCACCTTGCTGAGCTCATCCTTGATGGTTGCCATGGTAGCCAGCATCCGAGCGATCTCTTCCTCGGTGAGGTCTTTGGTCAGCTGCTGTGCGTTACGTGTGGCCGTCTTGTACGCCGCCTCCATGGATGGCACTTTGTGCTTGATGTCCTACAAGAAATTAGTCGACATTTGCATAATCTCTATAAACTCTCATATTATGTACACTACTGTTTAAAAGTTTCTGGCCAGTACGTTTGGAAGCATTAAATTGTTTAAAAATGACAGTAAGATATTTACAATGTTACAAAAGGTTTCCAAATAAATGCTGCTCTTTTGAACTTTCAACTCATCAAAGAATCCTGAAAAAAAAGATTAAGCAGCACAACTGTTTTCAACATTGATAATAATAAAAAAAATTGTTTCTTGAGCAGCAAATCAGCAAATTAGAATGATTTCTGAAAGATCATGTGACAATGAAGACTGGACTAATATATTTTACATATACTACGAAATGGAACAGCTATTTTAAATGAAATAATATTTCGCAATTTTATTGCTTTTATTGTATTTTTTATCAAATAAATGCAGCCTTGGTGAGGCATAAGAGGCATTTTTCTGTAGTGACTCCAAACTTTTGAACAGTAGTCCGATTGATAAGTCAGGCAGCACACAGTCAGCTGCTCAAAATGACAAATTCAAGAGGTTTAATCACTCGAAAGTGGTATACGCTGCGATTGACCAATCAGAACCAAGTATTCCAGAGAACCAGCTTCGTGAACTTTGATTACCTCAACGTCTTGTAGATATGTCCGTATGTTCAGAAATGAAACTTGAACTGGAGTGTTCATCCTCTCGTTGGCCAAGTCAATAAATGCTTTTAAGGCTTCAATCCCATCGTCATAATCTTTTCTCAGTTTGTCCACTTCATCTGCTCTTGCATACTAAGAAAAAAAAATCATCAGAATTGTTTACACCAATATGAATATTGACATTATTTCATAAAAGGGACTGTCAAAGAGAAAAATAGTCATGAAAAACTAAATTATGAATGTGTTGGGTGAAAGAAACCTTGACTTGAGATAAAAAACAAAATGCTTGACGTCTTACATGTTTGACTTTGACAAACAGCTCTCTCCATCTGCCGTTGAGAAGGAGCAACTGTTGTTTCAGTTCTCGAGACACGGTCTCATCGCACGTCTCAATCAGGAAGTTTCCAGCATCATTCATGTCCATGTGCTGCTGAATCCAGTGTGGAAGATTCCGGAAAAACTCCTGCAGAAGAATTCACACTCTTTATACACAACAGTTTTCATTCGGCAGCATTTCATCTGAAAGCCACAAACTTTTTCAACGCACCCGTTTGTCGCTCTCTGAATGGTTGAGCATCTTCTCGGCGTCCTCCAGCCAGGCCTGCAGGCTGGCCACTGTGCTGCTGTATTTCTCCCAGTTGCAGATCACTTCCTCCAGCATGCTGCGGACGCTGCGCACCTCCACTGACAGGTTCTTCCACTGCGCTGTCGCATCGCTCAGAAACTTATTCACGCCTTCTACCTCCTCAGCTGAAGGCAAATCACATTATGGAAAACAAATGCATTTCTCAATCCCACAAATCAATCCCTAGTCAGGACAGTGCCCACTGTTGTGGATTAGAGTGTCAGCTACTGATGATACACGGGGGAAACTTTTTGAGCATGAATGTTGCTTGGGCACTTTCACATTGAGGATGGATAACAGATGTCTTCATCTGGTTGCCCGTTGGCGGCAACATTGCTCAAAAAGTTGCCCCGTGTATCATCAGCCTAAGTGAACTGACAGGAGGGGTTAGTAGAAGTGAAATCACTGTATTGTGATGTTACACACTTCAATCAAGATCAACCACCTGATCTAAACAGTCACTATGTTCCTCTAAACTCACTTCTCTTGGGGATTTTACTGCCTAGAATATGAAATAGTTAAACCACATTACTACACTCAATATGGTACCTCTGTAGTCAGGTAAATATATTCCTAAAACCTAACCATTACACACACAGGTCATGTTTCTTGCCATTTTCAAAAGAATCAAAATAAGAAATTATATTTTGCATTCATATAGGCTATACTTATTTTAGTTTTTTAAATTAATTTCAACATAAATTGTCACATTATTTTTTATTATATTCAAACACATTTGCCCCTACTTATTTAATCAAAAATATTAAAACACAGTAACACTGTGAAATATTATCAGAATTTAAAATAAATGTTTTCTATGTGAATATATTTTAAAATGTAATACATTTCTGTAAATGTCAATTTTCAGCATCATTACTCCAGCATTCAGAGTCACATGATTCTTCAGAAATCATTCTAATTAGCTGATATATATATATTTATATATATATTATTATTATTTTTTTTTTTTTTAGGATTCTTGAAACCATAATTTCTTAAAAAAAAAAAAAATCTTATTGACCCTAATCTAGGCTATACTTATTTTAGTTTTTAAAATGAATTTCAACATTATTTTTTTGTCACATTTTTTTTATTATATTAAAACACATTTACCCCTACTTATTTAATAAAAAATATTTAAACACAGTAACATTGTGAAATATTATCAGAATTTAAAATAAATTATTTCTATGTGAATATATTTTAAAATGTAATTAATTTCTGTAAATATAAATTTTCAGCATCATTACTCAAGTCTTCAGTCACATGATTCTTCAGAAATCATTCAAATTTGCTGATTTTTATATATATATATATTTTTTCTTTTTGAGAATTCTTGAAACCATAATTTCTTTAAAAAAAAAATCTTATTGACCCTAATCTTTTAAAAAAAAATCTTATTGACCCTAATCTTTCAGTAGTGTATATTCATAATACAATAATAATAATTTTTATTTAAAAAAATTGTATCACTCCCTTTTGATTTTGGAGTGAAATATGACCTGGAGATTTAATTTGTGACATTCACCCATTCATAGTCTATATTTAGTATTTTTATATTAAGATTACTATGCGAGGTCAAAGAAGACCCTCAGATATGAGTCAAATATAATTTTCTAAGAAATAATATTACTCCACAGCACTTCTTTCACCTCTGTAATGATGTTTCAAGGACGTGTGACAGAATGAGGCTGGCTGATCACAAAGCAATAGGCTCATTTTGGCTGCTGGAGTTCAGAATCGCTGACAGGGAATGATTATAAAAAGCTTCATGAATCTCCAGCCTCAGAGAAAAAATGGCTGAAAGTGAGACGTATCTTACCTGGATCCCCAGACTCCAAGTAGGAGTCTGCAGCTTGTTTCAGAGTCCAAAACGTGGTTTCATACTGCTCAAAGAACTTATGGCCTTCGATGAACGCCTGTGTGTAAATGAGTACAGTAATGGGAAGATGTTTCATGATATGTCAGCTGAATCTGTGTTTATAAAGCAGATTAAAAGAGTTTATTAAATATGCTGGAGGACGTACAATATAATTGTGCAGAAGAAGCTCCACTGAGTCCCGTCGGCCGTATTTAATGATCCAGGATTTGAGCTTTGACTCGGCTAGCATGAGAAGTGCCATGAGACGATACTTCATCTCCCAGAACTCAAACTTAATCAGATGGACGTGAGATGAAGTGGACACAAAATTAAACCTGTGCAAACATGAAATATTAGTAAATATTGCAGTAAACTATGGGATTTTGACTCCTTAGTTTCCATAATTACAGTATATAAAGTTAACATTAAAGTTAACACAAAAAAATGTTGCTGGTCTTATTGTGCATGATTCATTATTAGATTGTTTTCCTCAAAATGTAATAATCTCTGAACATACTTTCTTTTCTATGGATGTAACCATGGCCACATGTGTCAGAAAAATTGTACAAAGAAATATTGTACAACCTTTACATTTTATAAAACTTGCCAGCATGGCATTAAAGTGTTCTGGGTGGTTGCCAGGGCATTGCTATTTGGTTGCTAGGGGTGTTATGTTAGGGTGTTGCTATATGGTTGTCTGGGGTGTGCTGGGTGGCTATTAGGAGTTGATATGTGGTTTCCTGGGGGTTCTGGGTGGTTGCTACGTGGTTGGCTAGGGTGTTTTGGGTGGTTGCTAGGGCATTACTATGTGGTTGCCTAGGGCATTCTGGGTGGTTGCTAGGGTGTTGCTATGTGGTGTTCTGGGTGGTTGCTAGGGCGTTGCTATGTGGTTTTCTAAGGTGTTCTGAGTGGTTGCTAGGGTGGTGCTATGTGGTTGCAGAGTTGTTCCAGATGTCCTGAGAGATTGTTAACACAATGCTATGTGGTTGCCTGAGATGTTATGGGTGTTTGCTAGGGTGTTGCTATGTGGTTGTCTGGGGTGTGCTGGGTGGATGCTATTAGGCGTTAATATGTGGTTTCCTGGGGTGTTCTGGGTGGTTGCTAGGGGTTGCTATATGGTTGGCTAGGGTGTTTCGGGTGGTTGCTAGGGCGTTACTATGTGGTTGCCTAGGGCATTCTGGGTGGTTGCTAGGGCGTTGCTATGTGATTTTCTGGGGTGTTCTGTGTGGTTGCTAGGGCATTGTACAGACAAATATAACAGCTAATATTTACAATCTCCAGCTTAAATTAAAATATGAATATAATTCAATTAAACACCTATCCCCCGGTTTCACAGACGAGGCTTAATCCTAGTCGCTGACTAAAATGCATGCCTGGGCTGTTTTACCTGAAAGAATCTTACACTGACTGATCTTAAAATAGGTCAGTTCCATTATTTTGTCTGAAGATGCACACCAGTAGTGTTTTTTTCCCTAAGGTATGTTTATAAAAACTACTTTAATGTCTATTACTTAAACTACTAGAGCATGATACTACGATATTTCCTCAAATCGTGATATCACACACCTCTCTATTAGGCGTTAATATGTGGTTTCCTGGGGTGTTCTGGGTGGTTGCTAGGGGTTGCTATATGGTTGGCTAGGGTGTTTCGGGTGGTTGCTAGGGCGTTACTATGTGGTTGCCTAGGGCATTCTGGGTGGTTGCTAGGGCGTTGCTATGTGGTTTTCTGGAGTGTTCTGGGTGGTTGCTAGGGTGGTGCTTTGTGGTAGCAGAGTTCCAGATGTCCTGAGAGATTGTTAACACATTGCTATGTGGTTGCCTGAGATGTTATGGGTGGTTGCTAAGGTGTTGCTATGTGATTGGTGAGTACTTCAACATGGTCTGAGTGATTGCCATCCCACTCCTATGTGGTTGCTAGGGTGTTGCTATGTGGTTGATTACTTAGTGATTACTAAGTTGTCGTGGATGTTTTCTACTAGTTCTGGGTGGTTGCGGAGTTGTTTCACATGTTCTGAGTGGATGTTTGCACATTCCTTTGTTGTTGCTAGGGCGTTGTAATGTGGTTACCTGGGGTGGTCAAGTAGTAGCTACGTTGTTCTGGGTGGTTGCTAGTTCGCTCAATAGTTCGCTATTTGATGTTCTGGGCTCTAAACATGGCTAAGTATGTCATCCTGTCTACTGCACAAACAGTGCAGTTGTTTAATACTTTAAATTGCCATTGTTATGTATGTGATTGCACATCACATAACAGACATCAAATGCATTGCAAATGGCGTTTCATGTTGCCTTTAAACAGTTAAATGAAACTTAAGGTCATCAGATTTAACCTTTCCGCCATGTCCTGAAGCTGCTCTGGTGGAACCGGGACACCGTTTACCGATCGGTCTCTGTGAATCTGTTGAAATGTCTGTCGGTGTCCCTCCAAATTCTTCAAAACCTCCTGCACAGAAAGCACAGTCATTGTTTTTATTTTAGCAGCACAGTGATTGGAGCAAGTCCCTTAAGAAAGAAAAAAGTTCCAGCACCTACCGTGTGCTGTTCCAGTTTTCTGTGGATGATGTTGGCCGTCTCTTCGTGGGCCTGTTGAATGGGTATGTCCTCTCTCAGGGAAAGTTCTGCCCGATGCAGCCAGGCTCCGATCACTCCAAGAGGGCCCGGCAAAGACTTATCCAGATGGATGTGCCAGTCTAAGAGCTGCACAAGCCACACAAAAGCATCGCAAATATCAAAAGGAGAGATCTGCTTTGAAAGCCGTTCACTGTCTGTGAGGTCCCTTCAAGCTGTCAAGTATCTGGCCAGATTGCAGTGTCCGCTCTGTGGACTTCTCTGTTCCTTTAAACAAAACCGTCTCTGTGTGTCTGTCCTCTTTCCTCAGTAATGAACCCTGCATCCATGGTCTACGCTCCAATTCACACTTCATTACAGCTAATGACAACCAGAGAAGCACAGCAGTAAGAGTTGAACTCTGAAGTAAAAACTATTTTCAAACATAATAATGGATTTATGTACACAATGAAAATAGTGTCAATAATGCAAAGTGACAATAGTAAACACTCATTTTTCAGTTAAAGACAGTTCATCGTTGAATTCAGTGATGTCAACATCCAGCTCAGTTTAAATAATATCTTTGCAATTATGTCAACGATATCGCCGGAAATGAAGTGCATGAAAGTGCAAATTCATTCTCTGCCAGCAGGAGGTGCTTTAGGAGCGGCAGAAACAGCCGTTTCCCCGGTAACGGCTGTAATCAAAACAGTGCTCTGCTCATAAACGCTGCTTTATCAGGCATTATAGGAAAGATTAGATGAAAATGACATCAAAACTTTCGGTTCCCTTCAAAAAAGATACATTCATATAAAAACACCCGTGCCGCATTTTGATTTTGAAACGTGTAGTGCTCATGTTTATTCAACGAAGTCAAAGCCTTTTGGAAAATCAATTTGTGGCGGTCAGTGTTGATATTGTGGCGGGCAGCCACAAATAAACTAATGTATGGGAAACACTGTACTATACTATACACTATACTTGTCAGACTTTGTTCCTTGTTTTGTGTGTCTTGCTCCCCATGTGCCTTCCTACGCCCATATTTGGTTAGTTTCCTGTTCCTGTCCTGATTAGGTTAATTTGATTCCAGGTGTTCCCCATTTTATGTTTATTGATCCCAGGTGTGTCTCGTCATCCCCTCCTCCTGTGTGTATAAATAGTGTTCCCTGTGTATGCTCCAGCGTCCGGTATTGTATGTTAATGAATGTGAATGTCTGCTGAAGTCTACCTCCTTTACTACGTGTGTTTTCCTGGTTCCCTTGAAGTTATTAAAATCCCATCATTAATGTACTCCTCATCTTTCTCCGTTCCTTGCTCCTCAGTCCGCTCAGCAGTGAACCCGTGACAGAATACCGGACCCGAAACAAAAGTAAGCAGTGCCCCTTCTCCTCGTTTTTGTTTTTCCCGCCTTTTTGAAAGTGTTTTGTCTCCTGGTTCCCCCCCGTGGCTATGGAAATTGCTGCTCGCGTCGCCACCCTAGCTCGCCTCGATCTCCCCTTCTACGAGTATGCCAGGGAGTTCTGCAAGCTCGCGGCGGTGACGGCGTTAGAGGATGCCGTCCTCAATCAACTGTTCTGGCTCGGGGCCAACTACCATCGCTCCGTGGACCTCCCAGACACCACTGGACTAACTTGGAGGGAAGGTGTCTTCCGGTGTCTGGGGAGTGTCCGGTCCCGAGCCAGAACCAGTCCGCCGCCGTCCGTGGCTTCCCCAAGTCAGCCGGCAGTTAATGTGGCAAGCCCGAAGGACATTAATGTGGCCCCAGAGCTCGCTCCAGTGCCAGCTCCTCGAAAGCGCTTTGCGGTGTCTGCTCCTCCAGAGCGCCCTCCAGTGCCAGCACCACTTAAGCGCTATCCTGATCCCCCCGATAAGCCCAGGGAGGGCTCCTGACCCCCAGTTCAGCCCAGGGAGGGCTCTAGGTCCCGAATACAACCCCCTACATTTCTCCAAGTATTTTTGGGGGGGGGTACTATGGCTCCAGCCGTAGAGGCCGAGGCAGGGGCTGGGGCCGCGGCTTCGGAGGCTGCTCCGCCATGGCCTCCTAAACTACCCGCTCCACCATGGCATCCCGAGTCCCCTGCTCCGCCATGGCCTCCCGAGGCTCCTGATCTGCCATGGCCTCCTAAACCACCTGCTCCACCCTGACATCCCGAGTCCCCTGCCCCGCCATGGCCTCCCGAGGCTCCTGATCCGCCATGGCACCCCGAACGGGTAACGCTCTGGAGGCCCACTGTCCCGTGTCTGTCCTGAGGGACCTCCAGAGTGCCCACCCCCTCCCCATTGGATGTTATATGGCGTGAGGACACGCCTTCCGGAGGGGGGGGTGATGTCAGACTCTGTTCCATGTTTTGTGTGTGTCTTGCTCCCCATGTGCCTTCCTA